CTTATTGTCTGCCCCACCCCCCTTTTTTAAAACAAATGCTAGAGCTGTGACATAAAATAATTGTCCAAAAGATTAAACACTGGAGTTCTGAGTTTTATCTGGTCAAATCACTGAAATACATCATTAGAAAATGTTTTGATAGTGAATAAAATCTTAAATCATATAGATTAAAAATGACTTGCTGCTTCCACTTATCATGTTTCCATAAAAGCAGTTTTCAAAATGTGTTTTCTTAAAATATCTTCAAAATAGTTCCTGGTCGAATGGAAACAAGTGCTGGGAAAATTCTCTTGTTGCAGACATATTCATTAGGGTGGTGATAGCATTGCCAAAAGGAACGAGAACGTGCCAGGGCCAACACGTTTAGTCCTGAGAACGTTCCTGCTCTGAATTCCTGGCCTGTTCTTTCTCAGTCTCCTCCCCTCCTTGTCTGAAATTTCCATTGTTGGCATCATTATCCAGAATGTAAATGGCTTTGCCAGAAACTCTGCGCATAGCTTGTCCAAGGATAAATGTAAAGGAGATGTGCTCCTTTCCATTATTTGCTTTGGATATTTTTCTAACAATTAAATAAGCTTGGTATAGAAATCATTTTAATCTTTTAGAAAGTATTTTTTGGTAGAGTTGGTCTTGCCATGCTCATTCCTCAAAGGTAAGTTTATAAATTCTGTTTCTGCCTACTTTAGAATAGTTGGCAGATTCTGTGGCTCTTATGGCATTTTAGCATCTTGGTTTGTTTTCTCCAGAATACTTCTGCACCTACAAATACTGCCTTACAGAATTAATTTCCTTTAAGGATTTAACTATTGGACATTTCCCATTAAGTCCTATATTCTCAGATCTCTGGCCATTGTTGTTAAATTCTAGATATTTAGAGCTGATAGGATCTTTAGAAACAGAATAAGAGTGGACATTTTGAAGATCATATAGGCCAGCTATTTCTCTTTGTAGGTAAAGAAACAGACTCACAGAAGTGAAGTGACTTGCCCAAGGCCTGCATTTGATATTAGTGTTGCAGTTAGAACCCATGTCCCTGTTTAGTACTTTACTCTTAGCTGTCTGATTCTGCCCTCTGTCCCAGAGGTCAGATGGTGTTTTACTCCTAGCAGGAACACTGGGGATTGGGCTCCAACCCATTTATTACTAAAGCATATGTTTACCAAGTCCTTTTTGGCCCTCTTCATTATGTACTCCTAGACTCAACCAAGTCAAAGCTAGGTTTAATTGAAAACAGTGTAGGAACTATATTGATTCCAAATGTACTCTCCAGTCCATGTACAATGGAGAGAGGCACCTTAATCTTTCAGAGACAGTTTTGATAAACATTTAAAGCTTTTTCACTGTAGCTGTTTTTTTGACGTATTCCTTTATGGTGCATGGTGGCATCAAATTGTTGAAGTTTAATTCCACTGTAGGATTTCCATTCCATTTTGCTTGAGATCTACCATTCTGCATCTTTCTTTCTCCAGCACGGAGATGTGTGAGCTGATGGAGCTGTTCCTCAGCTAGTCTTTTTTAGAAGATGAGCCATTTGTTAAAACAAACAAAAAAACTTAAAGAAGGATGTGAATATATCACTATTCGGGCACTAGTCTCAATGTCTTCCCATCTTCCTTGGAATGAAATCCAGCATCCTTAAAAGAGAACCAAATGCTGTTCACCTCCCTGATCCCACTTTTAGTCTTCTGCCCCTCACTTACTCCACTTCAGTTTCACTAGTGTCTTTGCTGTTCTTCAAACGTATCAAGCAGACTCCTGGTGCATTTTGCACTTGGCTGTTCATGCTGCGGAGATACTCTTCCCCTGGGTACCGAATGGCTCCTCCCTCACCACTTTCAAAGTAAGCAAGCTTCTCAGGAAGCTCCTCCCTGGCCATCCTTACTTAAAATTGCAGCCCCCAGCCAGCCTTTCTGTTTCTCTCCTTTGATGTGTTTTTCTCTGTAACATTGGCTACCTGCTAACGTGGCACTTTGTTTTCGCAAGAGCTCTCCAGGTGATTCTCATCTGTAGCCAGCACTGGGAACTTTTTGCCGTAGACGTTGCTCCACTGGGTGTTAATTTTTAAAGTCCTAGCAGAGGCAGGATTTTAAGTATCGAGAACACATTCTGAATTCTTAATAGTAGCTTCAAGCAAAATACTTTTCACTCAGTAGAACCATTCTCTTGAATTAAACCACATTGTGGCTCGACATTGTTTCCCATTCATGAGAAACTTTCCTTGCAGTTGTGATAGCGGCATTATTTCTATATGTAACTGAGCTTGAGGAGTACACACCTTAAGACCAGAGGATCTTCTGATTTTTTTATTTGTAATGAATTTGTATTATTTAAACAAGAGTTTAAGATATGAGATCTCAAATAAAATAGTTGGTTTTACCGACCTTTTTCCTTAAAAGGGTTCAGCACTAGTTAACCTATGTATATATCATTGAGTCTACTTTAGAGTGTTTGATACTATTTAACTTTTTATATGAAAGGTTTTTTTTTGAACTATTAAAACTACACATTGTAGAAATTTGGAAGTGTTAGAAGATAGAGATAGAAATAAGGGGGGAGTCTCTTGAAAATCATTGAGTCTACTTTAGAGTGTTTGATACTATTTAACTTTTTATATGAAAGGTTTTTTTTGAACTATTAAAACTACACATTGTAGAAATTTGGAAGTGTCAGAAGATAGAGATAGAAATAAGGGGGGAGTCTCTTGGAGATGACTACCATTGACACTTGTTTCCTTCTAGCCTTCTTCCATTGCTGTGATCCTGTTCTGGTATGGGGGCGGGGGTGGTGGCATTTGAAAAGTACCGTGGAGAAAACATTCCCAACATTAAGAATTCAGCACTATTAGCATTCGTATGTATTTGCTTCCAGTTTCTTATCTGTGTGTACACTTTTTAAAAAAGCAAATAATATGCAAGCATTTTGTCTCTTTTTAGAAGGACTATGGTATTGGATAAAGTCATTTTTAACCATTTCCTGTTCTGTTCCCTATTACCACCATGTGAGCTGGGCCTGTACCCTAACTGAAATAATTACTTTTGCAAGTTTGGTTTGGTCCAGTAATTTGTCTATACCTTTTACCATGGAGGATAAGTAGTATTGCTCTGTTTTAGTTTATTTAAATGGTATTATGCTATAAATATATTCTGCAACTTTTTTTTTTTTTTTTAAACTCAGCTTTAGATCTATCCAAGTTGATACATATTGATCTAGTTCACTACCTTTGGCTATATGGGACTCCCAGTATGTGGATGTACTATAATTTCTCCAGTCTTGTTTATAGGGTTGAATTTGTGTCTTGGCTTTTATAAACAATGCTGCTATGAATATCCTCATGGGTCATCTTGGACATGTGTGTTAGTATTTTTCTAGGGTTATGTAGAATTTTTTACCCTGCTTTTTCTCCTCTTAAGACATGAAAGTTTCCACCAGCTTATTACAGTCTGTTCATAACCACATACCTCTTAAATCGAGATGTTGAAACATCTTTAATTTCCTTATTGAAAAATTAATATTGGCCACAAGAGTTTTCTTTTTGCATCACAGTTATCCAATCATTGCACAGACTCTTGATAATAGTAGTAGATAAAACATTAAGCTATTTCAGCAAAAGGATTTAAAAACAAAAATTAAAAGTGTGCTTAGTACTTGGAATGGTAGAGCATTCAGTCAAAGACTGGAATACCTGAGGTGATGTATTCTTATTCCCCATGTTCTAATTTCAGGGCAGTTTCTTAGATTTTTGGAAACAATCTCTATAGCCACTCACTTGGGGCTCCTCCTCCAGTGCCACACTCTGCATCTTACCAGGCTCTCTTCCTCTTCCCCTTGGCAAAGAGGGAGATTTGTACTCCCCTTGACTGTGTTAATACTTCGTACACATTGCAGTTATTTCTTTGTGTCTTTTGTTCCACTGCTACAGTGACCTCTTTGAGTATAGTGTACTTGTCTGTCTGGTTTTTGTACCCCAAACAAGCATGATGCCTGTCATGTAGGTGCTGGCCAAATATGTTTTGAATGAATGAGGGAGACAACATGTGGGGGACTGGGGTTGAGACGTAGTGATGGTGATAATCACTTTAGTAAGGAACTTCAGTTTACTGAAAGTGTGGAACAGAATAAGGGAGTCCTAAAAGGAAACAGGGTCGTAAGGATTACAAAATGACAGCTTTGATGGATCTCTACTTTAGAATATTGCTATTTGCCTATACACAAACTGATTAAATCACTAATTTTGTTAGAAAATAAATTAACTTTTCCTTGGAATTTAAATAGCAATGTATTTGTTAAAGTCTGCACTTGTTTTTCTAGGAATAAATCAAAAAACTTACATCCTTACAGATATAGCTGTCTTATAGAATTTTTTTTTTTTAACTCCTAGTCTCATTTCTGGGTTGCTCCAATTTTGATCAAAACTGGGTTTACTTGAATGAGTAGACTAAAGCTAAAGGAAATATTTTGGTCACTGTTCTTATGAAATCTTTTGTGGTTTGGAAAGAGGTATTCCTTTAGCAATCAACAGCTTCATTCATGTTCTGCACACAGTATAGCCAAATGATACCAGTAAATGAGCTTCAGAAGGAGAAGTTCAAATGCAGAACCTCCAAATTTAGAGTTTGAACAGTAAAACTTTTGGAAGGGGAGTCACAGTGAAGTTTCTTAACTTTTACTATGACACTAGTTATAAACCATTTAGTACAGTAAATTCTCTTTTCTCAAGTACCTTCATAGCTCAGAAAACAATTGCTTTAATGGTTATTATATTATATAAGCTGCATTGCTGCCAAAGTTTGCTCATTTGTTAATAGAACTCTTGTATTTTAAGTGATTGGAGCTGTCAGAAGAGTGAAGTCTTCTCAGTAACAAAAGATGTAAGGTTGAAAGTAATGATTTATGAGTATTATCACCTTTTCCAATACTGAAATTATTTCCAGTACTGAAGTACTTTAAAAATAATTGTTCTCTGGATACTTTTTTCTGCTAATTAACATCTCTTTTTACAGGATTCATGAATAAAATTTTCCATCCCAACATTGATGAAGCGTAAGTAACTATTTTAAAATGTTTAAATTTTAGCAGCAACTGATATTTAATAATTAGAGTTCATATCTCCCTCTCTTTCTCTGTTATTAAAAAAAAAAAAAAAAACCTTCATTATCTTTTTGGATTCTATCAGGAAGTAGGACTGTATGAATGGTCATTTAACCTATAGAATCCTGGGGATGTGATATTCTAAATCACTTAGCTCAAATTCTGCTATTGTATTGCTTAGTTTTTTCTGTTGTCATGACTGGGTCCTTCATTTCTCTTGATATCCAGCTAACATTTGTAATATTCCACATCTCAATTCTCTTTGTATAGACACAATCCAGAGATGTTTTCAGTATACAGATTTACTATTTTCAGCCTTAAAGCGTTTCCGAGTTCTTGAAAGTAAAACAAACATGAATGACTGTAGTTTCATTTCAGTTAATGAGTCTTAATTATCCCTTTCTTTCCTTCTAATGTTTTATTAGTGATATTTTAAAATATGATTCCAGTGTATGCCGTTTTGTACTCCCAGTGCTGTTTAGAATACATGATCATTTGGACTGCAGTTTTTACTTGTCATGACACTAAATTTTGCACGTATATGAACCCCTCTCACATGGGTATGCAATTTTGCTGTCTCTCACCTACGTGTATGTGAACCCTGTATTGAGTAGGTTGTGTACTTACATCGTGCCCCTTTGTCCTTTAGTTTTTCAGTGTATCAGTCATCCTAACAACAAGGATGTTCTCTTATGTAACCAGATGTAGTTGTCAGATTTGGGAACTTAATATTAATGCAGTACTTTTTATCTAATCTATATTCTAGTAATGTACTTTTTAGCACTTTTTTTTCTTAAACTACTTTAACCTAGAACAGTTCCTTAGCCTGCCTTTGTCTTTTATAAAATTGACATTTTTAAAGAATATAGACTAGTTATTTTATAGATCGTCCCTTAATTTGGGTTTTGTCTGTTTCCTTATCATTAGATTCAGGGTATGCATGCACTTAAGGCCAGGAAACCACAAAGTGAGATTGTGTCCTTCTTAGGGTGTCATATTCGGAGGCACACAAGGTTTATCTGCCCCTGTGTTAATTTTGATCACCTGGTTCAGGTGTTGTCTGGTTTCTCCGTTGTATTATATAGTTACTATTTTTCCCTTTCATTCTGTAAGGAAACACTTAAGACCTTGTAAACATTCTGCTGCTCATCATACTTTTCCCCAATTGGGATTCTTTTTGTTTTTAAGGGTCTATTAAAGGTATTTCTCCTGATAAATGAAATTAGTTGTCAGATACATGCAACTAACTTTCTAATTTTAAAAAAAATGCCATTCTTTCCATCTGTTTCAGGTCAGGAACTGTGTGTCTAGATGTAATTAATCAAACTTGGACAGCTCTCTATGGTGAGTTTGGCCATGGAATATTTTTTGGAGATGTTGAGACACTGCCCCAAAAAAATGTCGTTTGGCTTTTCTTTGGTTTAAGATGTTTTGTTGGGAACGTGAAGGGATTTTGAGAGACTGGACGGGAAAGTCAATTAGTGAAAAAAATATTTTAAGTACAAACTTCAGTTTAGCAGTAGAAGTTTAAAATAATTTTGTGAGATTATAAACTTAAGGTATAATGATAATACATATGCAGACACACAGATACATATGCAAACATTTTATACATGTGTGTTCAGAATCTCATTGTGTATACATGTTTAGGTATAACACCTTTTAGTTTTGGAAAAACTCTTAGGAATGTCCCCCTGAAATGAGATGAATGAAGTAGAAAGAGGTTCAGGAGATTATGTTTCAAAGGCCAAAACATCATTAAGAAGCAAATAGTAATTTAGCCTGGACTTCAGTGCTGAAATTGACTTCTCATCTCTTTTGGTGAAATCAACAAACGATTGCCTAACTCAGCAAACCACTATAGTTCAGGAGATTATGTTTCAAAGGCCAAAACATCATTAAGAAGCAAATAGTAATTTAGCCTGTACTTCAGTGCTGAAATTGACTTCTCATCTCTTTTGGTGAAATCAACAAACGATTGCCTAACTCAGCAAACCACTATGCTGAATATCACAGAGAGATAAAGGAGTATTAGCCTTCTCTTCTTGAGCCTGTAACCTGGTTGGGGACCTGAAAATATTTTAAAATATATTTAAAGTTTATTAAGAATAAAACACATCTGTTTATTCCCCCACATGTTTAAATCTTCAGACTTCATAGACTCTCTCTGCTCTGGTGCCCCCCCACCCTGTGAGGCTTCCTCTGATCTCCAGCTGGAGGCAATCTCTGGATACCCTTACATTTTATAGCTTTTTTACGGCCCACTTTTACTTCCTACCTTGTATTTGTTGTTTATACCTATATTTTTTGTGCTACTAGGTTATTTCCTACCTTAAGGGCTATCGGGTGCGTGTCTGATTTGTCTTTAAGTGCCAGGACTCTTAACACTGTGCCTCTCACCAATATGGGTTGAAAGAATGAAAGGTACAGATAAGTTGCTGGGAGACACAGGAAAAGGAGGGAAAGATCCTTTAGGCTGGAGTTAACCAGAGATGCTCTACCTCTTGTTGGAGAGTTGTGAGACCTTTTAATGGTCCAAGGTAAGTAAGACATCTTAGTGCAGCCACAATCTGCAAGTCACCTTTGCCAGACATCCTTGTACTAGATTGGTGAATGAGAATCACAGAGGAAGGTTAAGTTGGTCACCAGCAGCACACAGTCAGTCCTTTTTTCCCCCCTTCTGTTTCTGCCATTGAGGAATTACATCCTCCCCTGGAGTTATCTCCCCTAATCTTTGGTTGATAGGACCTTTTCTCACCTCAAACATCACTTTTTCAGAGAAGACTCCTTTCCTAGCCATTTTAGCTAAAAGCATACCCCTCCATAGCACAGCACCCTGTTCTAAATAAGTTTTTTAAACTGGTATTTGTTTATTATTTATCTTCTCCTATTGGATCGTAATCTGCATGAGAGTGGGGACTCTGTCTTGTTCTTGTCTGTACACACATGCAAATGCGTAAAACAGTGCCTGGTGTCCAAGCATTCAATTATATGTTGGCTTAATGAGTGAGTTAATCATGCTTCGTACAGTTTAACATGAGTACAGTTTTAGGAAGATGATGGCTTATAAGGAGATGAGGCAACAGGAGAGAACATATAGTCCGTGGTTGATTAAATGGATTCCTTTTAAGATGGTTTTGTTCTGGTAAAAAATGTCTCATGGCAGGCAGCCTGGAATATCTGATGTAATGATGTGTTTTCTTAAGCTACATTCACATTTTAGAAATGTACATATCAAAATACCATAGCTGGTTCTAATTACAATGAAGTAAATTGGACTTGAGTTTCACTAAAACTTTTACCATTGACCAGAAAAGCTTTGTGGAAGAAGCTTGCTAATGCTTAAGTACCTCATGATGCAGAACAGATTTAAAAAAAAAAAAAAAATCAGCTTTACTGAATTATAATTCATGAACATACAACTCACTCATTTAATATATGTGATTCAGTAGTTCTTAGTATATTCACTTATGTGCAGCAATCACCACAGTCAATTTTAGAATATTTTCATCACCTCAAAAAGAAACTTGAACCTTTAACTATTCCCTATACCATCCCCACCAGCCCTGGGCAACCACTAATCTACTTTTTGTTTCTATAGATTTGTCTGTTCTGGACATTTCTTAAAATGGAATCATATAATATGTGGGTTTTTTGTGACTGGCTTTTTTCACTTTGTGTAATGTTTTCAAGGTCTATCCATATTGTAGCATGTATCAGCATTTCCTTTTTTATGGCCAAATAATATTCCATTATACAGGCATAGCATAGTTTATCTATCTGTTTGTCAAATGATGGACATCTGGGTTGTTTCCAACTTTTGACTTTTACAAGTAATCCCTCTATAAATATTTGTGCACAAGTTCTTACGTGGACATATGTGTTTATTTCTCTTGTGTATATACCTAGAGGTGGAATTACTGGGTGATATGGTAACTCTGTATTTAACCATTTGAGGAACTGGCAGACTATTTTTCAGAGTGGCTATACCATTTTACATTCCCACCAGCAGGTGTATAAGATTCAGAACAGATTATAAAGCAGAAGGCCAGTGTGACTAAGGTTTCATCACATTTATAAAATGTTGGAGTATGTTCTTGTATTAGCTTACAAAATATTTAATAAGCAACAAGAGTTGAACCACATTGGTTAAAGTGAACTGAAAGCAGATTTCTGTATTTCATGTATATGAGTTTTTGTAAGTGTTCCATAATAAAAGAGTATGGACATGCTAACATTACAGCGAAGTGTGGGAAAACACAAGAAGAAATATTTTCAGAGTGTAGTTTAAAAGTTTACTGAGCTTGGGAGAATTGTTTTGACATTTTGCTCAAAACACAGACTATTTCTCAAGAAAATTCAACATTTCTTTCATGGAAAATTTAGGAGCAGGTAAATACAGCTTATATATAAAGTACTGGTAGAAAGGGTTGGTTTAAATGACCTTGAAGTTTTTTTTTTTAGACTTGAGATCTGAATTGAATTTTTATTACAAACCGCTAAAGCCTCTGGCATTGAAAGTTAGTTCATAATTGGCGAGTTCTGAATTACTTGATTTCCTGCAGTGATTTTTGGGAGAATCTTCGTTCAAAGGGGGAAAAAAAAACCCTAATTTAATACCAAATAACTAATAGGAGAAAGCTGGCATGTTAACATAAATATTTTGCCAGTGAATTACTTGATTTCCTGCAGTGATTTTTGGGAGAATCTTCGTTCAAAGGGGGAAAAAAAACCCCCTAATTTAATACCAAATAACTAATAGGAGAAAGCTGGCATGTTAACATAAATATTCAACCGAAAAGCAAAAGGGTTAGCCTGGCACCTAAAACCTGTTTCAACACCTACTTCTACTGTATAATATAGTGAGGAACAGGGAGTCTTTGTGAAATTTCCTGCAGTTCGCTTTGCCCTAGGGCATGTACTATGCAATGGTTATACATATTTGTAGTATAACAACAGTTCCCAGTTGAAATTTCAGTTTTATAGTTATCATAACCTGATATTAAACAGTGTTCATGTTAGCAATAAATTCAGTCCTCTGACCCCTCGCCAAGTAGATTTCTGGTAGCCCGTTTGACTCATTGCTTCTGTTCTTTTCCTTCTTTCTCTTTGCCAAGTGTACGTGCAGTTTGTTCATTCAGAAGTTCAAAATTGGTATAATCGTTTAATCACCCAGTAATTTTTAATTTTATTTAACCTTGCAAGAGAGCTAATTATAGTGAGTAACGTGGTTAATTTTGTAAAGATGCTTGTCATCGGTATGAAGTTATCTATCTAGTATGAAGTTATTTGTTACTCTTGTGACATTAAAAGGAAAGTAGCAGATGACAAAATTGATTTATTTTGGCTTCTTGCATGATAACATCTTTTTTTTTTTTTTTAAACATCCTTTCCTGCTCTTCTAGGCAGCCCTAATAGTAATAAAAGCTCTGAAAAACTTAAAATGCAGCCAAGGGATTCTGGATTTCAGTTTAAAAAACAAATGTAATTTTAAGGAATGATTTAAAGAGAGTTCATTAAGCCACAGGTAGCTTTTTTAGTGTGTCTTCTATTTTCCAGTTTTCTTTTTTTTCCAAAATATATTTTAGCCATGGTTGGTTTATTAACCCACACTCAGGGCTCAGGTACCTTCACTACAGTACAGCTTTAACTTCCCTCCACCCTTGTGGGCCATGCATATTTGAGCCTTGCAAATGCATTTTTCTCTCCAATGGAAACAACTTCCATTTTACTCATTCCTTGACTGACTTGGTAACTTATGTTGTGGATTAAGTTATGGACAAGTGAGTGTTTTATAAAACTGGGCAGTTTATAGTTCCCACCCTTAGGGCTGCTGTCAGTGGACTGTATACTCCTTTACTTTGCTGGAGGATTAAGTTATGGACAAGTGAGTGTTTTATAAAACTGGGCAGTTTATAGTTCCCACCCTTAAGGCTGCTGTCAGTGGACTGTATACTCCTTTACTTTGCTGGAGAGAAAAGTCAACATTTAGGAAATTACTTCCCCTTGAGTCATCTAGCAAGTTAGTAACAGACAAGTGAAGTTAACTACAGCAGAAGGAATGCTTCAGGGACTTTGAGATTAGGCAGGAGGAACAAAGTTTCTCTTACTAGGCATTTAGAAAAAAATTAAAACAAATTTATTTAATAGTTATCTCATCCCCCTTTTTCAGTAGGGTAACCCATGAATCTTCCCAAATAATTGAAAATTTGGCAGAGGGTAACTGTATCTTAAAATAGTGCCTTATGTCACATTAATGTATGCTGTTTCTAGACATTTTAGTGAAGTTACACAGACAAGAAATATATGTATATGTCTGAGTAGATGATTGACTGGCCAACAAC